GGGCAACCCTTCAAATACACCACATTCAATTTCAAAGTGCTTGGCCAAGGGAGTGAGTTTGCATTTAGAAACTTTATTCCTTGTGAAATGATGAAATATGTCAGTGGAAATGAAGGCTCAGAAGGGAGAATCATAGCTATTAAATGAAAAAGGGCAGTTATAAATATCCAAAGAGGTATCTTAACCCCTTGCCTACCTATAAATCTATCCCTGTGCTTCCCTCCTGGGAGAATGGGACTGGAGGTTTATTAATAACCCGAAGAAGCACGAAACATGAAGAAGTTCAATTGTCAAATACTTTTCAAATAAAGTGAAGTATAACCTGGCAAACAATTATTACTTCTTAGGAACAAAAACTGTAGTAATCAGTCATCAAACCACCTTTATAAAGGGCACACTCCAGTTTTGATTTTGCCAATTACTGTATTTTTCAGAGTATAAGATGCACCTTTTTCCTTCAAAAAAAGAGGCTGAAAATCTGGGTGCATCTTATACACTGAATACAGCATTTTTTGCCTCCTGAAACCCCGCCCCTTCACCAAAATGGCCATGCATAGCCTCTAGTAAGCCTTCAGAGTGCTCCTGGGGGCTGGGGAGGGCAGAAATGAGCAAAAAATGGGCTGATTTTTGCTCAATTGTGCCCCCCCCAGCCCCCAGGAACACTCTACAAGCCTCCTAGAGGCTATTCATGCCCCCCCCCCTTTTTGAGAAAAAACAGGTCCGTTTTCATGAAAAACGGGATGTTTTGAGGAGGTTTGCAAAGTGCAAAAACTTTTTTTTAATTTGCCTTTTCAAAATCTTGGTGCATCTTATACTCCGGTGCATCTTATACTCCAAAAAATATGGCATTCCAACAAAGAAAAAAAAACCAGAATGGGTATTCTCTGAAGAATAAGCAACTCAAAATGAGCTACAATTGCACATTTGTTGCATTGTGATATCTTTACCTGGAAAGCAAACACAATAAGCAGTATAATGAAACGGGCACTCATTTGTTCTTGAAAACAGAACAAATGAAAGGAATTGTCTGCTACCATTAGTATGAACTCAGTTACGGCATTCAAAGTGGATGGTTTATGTAAAATAAGAACCACCAATGAACATACATATTTTGTGGGTAGAAACATGCAAAACAAAAAAATAAAAATGAAAATACATGGCCAAAACAAAGGAATGGCTCAAACACAATATAAGCACTGAAGAAAAGTTACACATAATATTAGAATTTCATTTAAGAAAATAGAAAAGTTAAGCATTACTCCATAAGAAAAAACTAAAAATGAATCTTGGTCCATATTCAAGATCTTTCAGGCAGCATTCTAAATTTAGATTTGGTTGAGTCAAATTACTTGGATTTATTTCCAAATATATTTGTTTAGAATCCAGGGGACAATTCTTCTTGACGAAAACTGTCCATATGCAACCAAAATAATAGAACTAAATGAATGGTTTGAAATATAAGCCAGCTGTATTCCAACTACTACTTCTACAGAGAAGCCCTTATATTATCCTAATCTTCAGGATAAGATTAGTGTAATTAAGTATGATTACATCAATTGTTAAGTAAAGGTGGTTTTGCATATCATCAAGGGATAGAATATACATAGGCTGGCTTGACTTAGGTTTAGATTTCAGCAAGAGATTGCTCCAGAAACTCTGCAGTTTTCCAGAGGCTCACACCATGCAGCAGATTCAGTTTAAGGGAACTGTTTTCAAATCAATTAAGACAGAACAAAAAGAGAAACATTTACAGTATTTTTTGTTTTGATCACTTTTTATGTGGGACTTTTAAGAAGTCATCTCTTAAGATTCACAAGTATCAGAAGCTGGTAAAAGATTCATGTTTGCTCTCCAGTATTATTCCAAAAGACATACAAAAGTACCCAATCATATTGTTTTACTGTAACAATTATTCTCAGATTGAACCTTTATAATGTCATTTTTTTTTGTTAGAATAGGCTGCGTTATTCTAGTAATAACTTTCCAACTCTTTCCAAGAGATCAGAGGATCTTATAGTCAAGCCAGTATCTTGAGCATAGTAACCTTGAACATGATCAGACTTCATTCAATACATGATTCCCTTGAGGTAAGTATTCATAATAGAATACATTTGTGAGAAATCAGAAAATGCAATAAATTAAGTTATTAGGTGAAATAGAAATTAAAATACAAATGTAATAATTTAAAGCTGTGTTTATTGATTAGTCATATGAATAGGAACTATACTGTATTTTTTTAAAAAATGTTTTAGAAATCAGGCACCTGGAATGAAAGAAAAGATGCTCAATCAAGTTTGACCTGATTGAACCTGTAGAATTTTACATCTAGACTTCTGTTAACTAGATCTATGAGGATAGCCATTAGTGGCAATTTCCCACTGAGGGAATTTCTTAGGTCAGGATCGAGCTATCCATAAAGAAAGGGCGAGTAACAGTGTACTCCCACTCATATTAAACCCTCTCTGTTCTGTTTTATCTAGCTCTGAGAAATAAGAAGCAATCTATTTTAAAAACAGTTTGATATATGAACTATAAACTTTGAAAGTGCACAATACTCAGCTAACTCTTGTTACCAATTAAAACAAAATGTTCATTATTATAATTTGTATTATAACTCCTAAACCCACTGAGCACAATCCCATCTGCTAATATTCCCAACAGGGGACCCGGTGGTGGGGATCTATATTCTGTTTGTGAAATTTGAAGCATAGCTAAGTAGGAATGCTTCTTCCCAGGTAAGAGGCCAATTCTGTAAAACCATTCAGAAGATTTTGTTCAAAATATTCCAGGGATGCCCTTTCTGTTTAGCTAAATACAGCAGTGCAAGATCCATCATGACATTTTCTATTTATATCTTTTTTTTAAAAAAAAACATAAAGTTACCTTACTATTCTAGTTTTCCTGGGAAAAGGTTTCAATAAACTGAATTGATCTTTAATCCCATATTGAGATATTGCAAGGACACAATAAGAGGTATGTAGTGTGCATATACTGTTACTATACATATATACCTGCATGAAATCTTTATCTCAGTTTGATGTCTCCTTTTTTGAAGATGAATTAAAAATGCTTTATATAAGTTACAGTTTGCACCTTTAATTTTCTTCATGAGTAACAGGAGAAAAGAAACGGCTTCCAGTAAGAAAATCCCATAGAGAAAAGTGTTAAATTCCCCTCCCTTGAACATGGCAGCTATAAAACAGATTTAAAAGTTGTCCTTCTGCTCTTAAAAACAGTGGAAGCTCTCATCATTCTTCTGGTTTGATTTTTAGAAACAGAGCATGACTAAATTGGTCCTCTGAGCAAACTTCAAATAATTGGAACAGCGAAAGTCAGTACTGTACTAAAAAGCCTCCTGCAATGTCAATCTGACATTTCAACAGGATACATGATAGACACTGGAAAAAGAGAATCCATCTAAAGAACTCTCCATATAGAGATTATTATTAGTCATTCCACCATTGGGATTCCTCATATCTGCTATGTGATAGGTCTGTGCAATTTAGCATGGATTTTATGTTTTATTAAGAACTGGACATGTTAAATCAATATACTAAAACTCAACAAATATCACACAAATGTTTTCTTTGCAGCCCAGCTCAGAAAAGCAGAAATAAAGAATAAGAAAGCATGCACATGCAATTCTGAATAAGCATTTGATGTATTTATCGTTAAAATATATACATATGATAAAAATGACACTGTATACAAATAGCCCTGAACTTACAACTATAATTGGGACTGGAATTTCTGTCATTAAGTTGTTGCAGGCTTAAGCCAAATCATCATGTCACTGGACCTAACTTTATGACTAGTTTTATGACATCTTTAAGTCCATGTTATGCAGTTGTAAGTGCAAATCCTGTTAACCAATGGTGTTCTTCTGCCATGAATCACATTCATGTGACCACAGGATGCTGCAGGAGGTTGTTAATTAAACTGTCATTAAGTCACAAGTTGAAGACAATCTGTATTATCTTTTTTCCTTTCAACCATTCAGAATGAAATAGCAGTTCCCAATAATTCTTTTGATTCAGCACTTTTCTGAATTCTATGATGCAATTCTTACATATTTTACAGTGCATATAAAATAAATATTTTACAATTATTTATTTATATAGAAATAGGATAACTGGATTTATCAAAGGGGATATGTAAAACTCACACAGACCAAATCCTTGAATTTGTCTATTTCATTTCATAAAGATACTGTATGCACATTTAAATAGTGGTCAGTTAAGAAGAAAAGTACCTCCCAGACTGCCCAGAGAATGTCTGTCTTTCTATGTGGAACAAGAAGCACAGTACTCTTGCCTCCATTTTGTTTGGCTTGTGAACAGGTGAGATTTTTTTTTTTTAAAGAAACTATCCTATACTATCCCTGTACAATTTATAGTAGAAATTTAGAAATAAAAAAATTATACACCTTGGTCTATCATTTTCATCAGAAGAATTTTCTCTCTGAATGTATGTATGGGAGGGGGAGAGAAAGTGGATGCCAATAAAAGTAGGCAATATAAAATTGGCAACATTTTCTGGATCGAGAGAAGGATTGAGCTCAGTTCTGTTTCTCCTCACTTTGCCATATTCACCCAACAGTAGGAACTCTTGAACTCTCAGAGGGCAAAGCCATTACTAGCAAAAGATGGAGGACAAGATGGCGGAAGTAACTGATGTCTATCATGTTATTGTGCTGTTAAGGCCAACAATTTATGGTAGATCAAAGACCATGAATTATCAATTTATGCTGTCTGGACCAATGATGCTTTACTATCTGGCATCACAGATACTATTTTAATAGGTAGATATTTTTCCCTCTTATCTTCTATCTGCACAATAGCTTTGAGGATCAGAGGCAATGAATTATGATGACTATGTATTTGATTAATCTGAATGAAATGTTGTCAGTAATATTACACTAAAGTTGTTTAATCTAAGATACCGTAAATTATGATTTCACACACTTGCTTTGAAGCAAAGCTTGTGTAGCTCTCCCTTACCTATGCATGTTTTCCCATCAGAGTGTAGCACAAACCTCACATGGCAACCACATTTTGGACCTTGATCTGTATCATCACAGGTGTGCTGACAACCTCCATTACCATAGTTGCAAGTCACTGAGAGGTATAAGAGAAGAAGAAATAAATAATTCCAAAGATTATTATCATACTTGCCGAACCAAAAGGCTATGTTTGCACAATACTGTAATGCAGAGCTAACTAAATCACCTTTACTGAATGAATCCAGCTGCTTGGATTCATACATCACACTAGGCTAAAATGTTGTAGTCTGGTTTGCATTCAATGTGTTACGCAAACAAAGCCCAAACAGGTTCAAGCTGCCAAATTTCTTGAAATAATTAAGAATTACTGGATTAATATAAAACTTCAGGCACTTCAAAATCACTCATAAAATCATCCAGAAGTATAACATGATTAACCTTAGATCAATACCAAGAGGAGAAAAAATAATATGGGATGAAAATGAAATGAGGGGATGCTGGGATTTTGAAAATCTTTATGGGTATGATAGTGATATGTCATAGATGAGAATGCAAACAGATGTTATAGATCTGTGATAGTGAACCTATGGCACGCGTGCTACAGGTGGCACACGGAGCCATATCTGAGAGTATGTAAGGCGTTCCCTATGTCGGCTCCAGTACACATGCACGTGTTGGCCAGCTGATTTTTGGCCTTCCGGAGGGCAGGAGGAGGCCATTTTCACCCTCCTCAGGCTTCAGGAAAGCCTCCAGGCATTACATTATGGGTGTGGGCACACACACATATGCTATTGTGTGCGCGCGCGCCCTTTTGGCACCCGAACAGAAAAACCAGTTAGCCATCACTGCTATAGATATTAGTTTTGGTAGAAAAAATTCATAAATGCTTTCTATTCAAAAATGGTCAAGCTATGATGCTTCTGTATCATTTCTTGTATTTTTTATGAAAGCTTTTTAAAGAAGTACACTGTATTTAACTTTTTATTTCCTGCCATAATCCTTCCAGTTTAGTGGAATTTAAAATAGCAAGTGCATTTGCACAAAAGTTCAAATATGTCAATTAATTTATTTTAGCAGCGTCCATATACAATCTCATCACAAGGTAAGTCTTGCAAACTTGAGGGTTTTTTAATGAGAAAACTCTCCCTCTTTCATCTGAACATTGATTACATATTCAGAGGATATGACTGGTTGTATGGGTGCAACTACACAAAGTAATGTTAACAGTTAAAATTCGATGATGTCGTCCTCTGTGAAAAAATACACTTCCAGTAAAGATCCACTATTTCTATACTAGTGTTTCTAAAACAACCAACTGCTATTTCTTTGACAAAGGTTTCCCAAGTAAACACTTACATTTGCAATCTCGTTGATTCTTAGTGAGCTCAAAACCAGGTCGACATTCACAGGCAATGCCTCCTTTCGGGGTCTCACGGCATATGTGTGCACAACCATGATTCTTGTTCATGCAGTTCATTCCTTCTAAAAGAGAAAAGAAGCAACATAAAAGCTACCCAGACAACACAAGAAATAGCAATAAGAATATATAATGATGACAGTTCATTCTTGCTTAGCTAACCTCTTTATCTATCAACCGAAAGCAAATTTTAATAAACTCAATAGGATTTATCCTTAAGGAACTGCACACAACTGTACCCATTTTGTCAAGATGACTGTAATTACCTTCAAAACACAGTCACTTTTTGAAGTAGAACTGTTAAGATTCATTGGTTTCAGAAACAACTAAGGCTTTAATTCATTACAGATATATGAATTAACATATACTGAATACAACACATTATCTTGATTTAAATATAAAAATGACCTGTGGTCAATCATATCCCCTGGAAATCTTGCCTTAAAGGAAAATTTCTGGAAATAGAAAAGAAAAATGAAAATTACCTCTTTACAGTTTACCAAGAGATTTGGTATACTATAGTCACATTATGCTATAATTTGAAGATATTAATTGACCTATGAAATTAAAATTATGAGATATCATGTGTGTTGTAGAGCTGATTAACCAGTGCCAATATCTTACTATGCCCAACCCTTAGTATGTAGTTTTCTCATCATGTATCCACCCTCAGAGCAATGAATTTTCTGTCACACCATCCCTATTATGTCCCTTAGCCTATGCCTTCTCCTTATTATACTAGCAATCCAGAAACTCTCGGTCAAAAACCCTGATTTGTCAATCAGTGATGCTACAGGTTCCAGTGTTGTTTCTTCAGCAGAGTCAAAAAGATTCTTAGGCTTTCTCAATAATGGGAATTGGCCAAAGCAGCATTAGCTACAAACATTGCTGTCTGACCTATCTCAGCTGCGAACAAAACAGGCTGCTGCTGACTCACATCCTTAGATTGTTTATGCTTCATTTGGACTTGAAGGACACCAAGTTCTGGGCTTTAGCCTCCATCACTTCATATTGGCCACCCACTGTAAGCAGCAATCAGAGCCAACAGGCCCTCTACATCATGGCCTGAGTATGCTGAAGAATACTAGCATGACTAGGTCTGCCTACTTCATTGCACAAAGCAGATGTTAGGGTCTGAATGAGATAAAAATATTTGTGAGTAAATCAGACCTAACTCAGGAGTGAAACTAAAGTCAATCTGTGATGTAGAAAGACACTTATTTCAGAGACAGTCTTAGAACAATTTTGGTGGTATTTTATTATGGTTCATGTAGTTGTTTTTATTACATTCTCTTTACATATTTTTATTGCCCGTTAGCTTGATCATCCCATTTAGACAGAAAGACAAGATATCAAACACTCATAGTTGCCTAGTGAACATGGCTATATTCTATATCAGAGATGTCAAACTCAAGGCCTGGGGCCGGATCCGGCCCACGGAATATTTAGATCTGGCCCATGGGGCCACCCTGGAAACAGCAAATGACCAGCCCATGTGCTTCTGTCAGAGAAAACAGGCTCCCAGTCTCCATTTTCAGCTGTCCCGGCCTCCTGCAACTCTCTGCCAGTGAAAGCAGAGCTCGGGAGAGTGTTGCAGAAGGCGGGGGCAACTGAAAATGGAGCTCAGGAACCTGTTTTTACTGGCAAAGCACTCGGGCCACCACAGGTCCCCAACAGAAGTGACATCAAGCTGGCCATGCCCACCCCAGCCCCCCAATGTCAAACACAACCCTGATGTGGCCCTCAATGAAATCAAATTTGACACCCCTGTTCTAGACCAGCTAGAGTCACATTTGAGAAAATGATATATCCTAACCTAATAATGTCAAGAACATTTCAGTAAAGTGGGAAACACTTGAAAGATTCCAGTAATTAATCAAAGGGATAATCATTATCCCAAGACACATGAGAGTTTTAAAAAATGGAGACTATTTCATGTCAAGAGGCACTCAAACATATTATTTGAGCAGATCCAGTGTGATGGCTTCCCTGGTCATCAGCTTGGACAAGGAGAAAGAGCCAGCTTTAGAGGTGTCAGAGGGGGACACAGAGGAGCTCCAAGAGGTTGTAGAGGGTTCTGAGCCAGGAGTGGAGAGGCCAGGCAGAATGAGAGGTTGCAGGAGGAGTGGCCAGATGAACAGCCGATTGAGCAAGGAGAGGCACAGCTGCAGCTGGAGAGCACAGAGGCCCAGGTGGGGGGGATAGGAGAAGGGTCCTCATTTTACTGACTTTGGAAGGATTGAAGGCTGAGTCAACCTTGAGCCAGTAAGACTCAAACTGCCAAAGTGCTGGCAGCTGGCTGAAGTAGCCTGCAGTACTGCATTGTAACCACTGAGCCACCATGGCTCATTATAAGTTGAGACACCCATGTGATTGAACCCAATTGTTGAGAACATTTTTTGTAGCAGTCATTAAGCAAATCTGCAGTCATTAACTGAATGCCATGGTTGTAAGTGCTCTCATTCTTTCAGAAACCAGCCAAAAATGCCAAAAACTGACAAAATAGTCACAAATCACAGCCATGTGACTGTAGGGCGCTGAAACTGGCCCTAAAGTCAGATGCCAACCACCTGAATTGCAATCACATGACTGGGGACACAACAGGCCATAAAACATTTGTTCTGGGCCACTTGCAATTTTGAATTGTTGTTAAGGAACCAGTCTTGAGGATTACCTATACTGTAGTTCTTTCTCTTGCTACTTTTTCCATGTATTACAAATAAAAATATCTGCAACATAAATTTTCTTAATTTCTTAATAAAATAACTTACTATGGGACAATAAAGGAAGGCAGGAAAAATAAACAAAAATATAGATGTATTATGCCCCAATTAAAAGAAACTGAACTGAACTGAACTGAACAACTTGAATGGGAAACAATGGGAGTCTGAATCAATTTATAGCTGAATCAGTAAAAAGAGAAAGGATGCGTTTAAGAAATGCTGTACTTATCATTCTTGCAACCTTAGAGTACTGTCTAAAGTCAAGAAAGAAAAACAAGATGAAGAGAAAACTGAAAAGTTATGTTGATAATAATTTAAAGAGGAAATAAAGTAAAGATGGAAATGAAAGTGAACAATAATTTAGAGCAAAATCTGATGAGCGTCAATTTGATGTTTTAACTAGCCATAAAAATTGGAAGACCATACAGGAAACATAGTCATTATTTTTTTTAAAATTAGGTACACACACACACCAGATATATTTAGTATATATACCAATAAATGATAGTTAAAGACATGTTGCTTGATCAGTGGTGGGTTTCCTTTTTTTTTTTACTACCGGTTCGCTTGTGTGCGTGCGGAGAAGCATCTGAGTGGGTGGGCGGAGCCTGCCACCACTACTGGTTCGCCTGATCTGGGCCGAACCAGCAGAAACCCACTTCTGTGCTTGATGTTTGTGTTCAGGACAGTTAATAACTAACTGTGATGTGCCGGGCAGCTATTTATTAGAAGGAAAACTGGCAGACACATAATAAAGCAGAGAGGTGATTTGGTTTCACTGCTCTTATCACCATCGAATACGCTCAATAACATTGCCTGTCACTTCAAATTTATCATGGATCAATCAATTAAAACTACTTTGAAGTCTGAAATGCAGGTGCACAGATGGAGAACTGAAAAGAACAAAGTTACCACAATAAACAATTACACTGGAGAAAAACACATGGACTGAAGAACAGAAAGGATTTAAATTCAAAACATCATCTTCTACAGCCAAAGTAAATTTAATGGCAAGAACAAAGCCTCTTTTTTGTTTTCAGGAGGTTATTTAAAACTACAGAAAACAAACACTGGGGTTGGGGCAGGATAGAGAACAAAGATGACACAAGAAGAGGCAAGAAGAGGCAAGCTTTATAGATTGTTATTGTAAGTTTTTTTTCTCTAGTATCTTCTACTTCATAAACTGCCTCTATTTGGCATTATTTTGAAAGAGACCCACAAGATCTTTGATGCTTGGATGAAAAAGCTTGTCTGGTTTTGTTGCAACTTTTGTAAATGACATAATAATCTATAGCAAAAGGCTGTCTGCCAGGAAATGTGTATTAAGCAGACGCTGCTTTCCCACAGCATTTGCAGCACAGCGATGGAGACTAAGCTATATATTAGGAAATTCAGGCGTCAAGAGTTTTTTGGGGGGTAGGGTAGCCTTTGAGCTTTCCAACATTTGAAGAGCTAAGAAGTCATTCTGGTTTGGTTGGGCTCTTGTGTTGTAGTCTTCTTGGTTCTTTATTCAAGAAACAGAAAGAAAAACAGAAGCCAGGAAAGATTCCAAGCAGAGATGTTGCTCTGGGCAGAACAAGGCCTACAACTCCTGACTGTACACCCATAGATAGAGGGACAATTAAGTGTTTATTATACTTACATGTTGCACAATCAGGAATGGTTTATAATAAAAAGTAAGCTGTAAGTATTAAATTGTCCCAAATATTTAAAAATAAACCCATAAAAACATAGAAATAATAGAAGTAAAAATAACAAGCAAAGACAAAAAACAAACATTAGTGCCAACTCTTATTGAATCGTAGCAATATTAATTCTGAAATATCCTATGGAAAAGTTTCATTTTAATAGCTTTTTGAAACAATATGAGGGAGATGCCAACTGAGCTAAAGGAGTGGGAAGGTTCCATAAAGTAGAACCTGCAGTGTGTGTGTGTGTGTGTGTGTGTGTGTGTGTGTGTGTAATATTAAGCATCTCCCACCATAACAAATGCATAGGATGAGCTACCTCCATCTGAAAATACTCAAAAGTCAACACAGATGTATATACTGTTATATACAACAGTTCTCATTTGCCAAATCAAAGGCTGATATACTTGCTGCTAACTACAAAGATAGGCTCATGTAAAGTATATTGCAATAGTTTGTGTAATGGCTGAGGTACCAAAACATGGCAGGAAGTGAGACAGGACCAAGACCAGTACACTTGTCCCATCCAAATCTCAAAAAAGATTATTCACCATTGTTTCCATCCTATGTCCAGATGTGAATCCTGAAAGACAGGTATTCGGACAATCTGCTTCCTCTATGGTACTCTGTAACTGAAGCCCAACACTTGGTCAATAACTTTCTCTTAAATGAAAAGGCTGGATGACAGTTGTCTTATATAGCTAGATCCAAGGAAGAAATGTTCAAAAGGAGCTGCACCACTGTCTCCTTTAAGGCATCAGGTATGGAAGCACTGATAGTTTCCTGGGTGCAGCTTCTTTCCCTTCCCAATCATTCCAAAGAATCCAGACATGCATATATTCAAGCCACAAGTGGCACAGAGAGCACCTGTTCACTTCATCCAAGTGCAAAGACCAGAATGAATCTCAGATGACAATTCATAACAAGGATCGATTCACCACTTCAGATACCACCCATAGAGTGTCAAGCCTTTTTTCCAAAATATAAAGCACTGTGCATATACATTTGGTTTATATATTCCCAGAATTATTTTATCTTCATGCTATCTTTCTTCCAATCAGTGAGGTACAGTTGAGCTTTCCCAAGAGAAGACTTTTTGTCCTAGGTCCACAAGATTGCATTTTCCTATTGAAGAGTCCTTGTCTAAGGCAAGGTAGAAAAATGACTTTGGTAGATATATATGAGTTCCATTACCAAGGTGATGAGAAGAAAAACATATCTTAAATCCATAAAGGGCACATAGGTTCATAAGCAGCTCAGTCATAGATCCCTAATTCATAAGAGTATAAGAAAAGAGAGGGGTACAGCACTATCAGATTCACAAAATTCTGTTATTATAGCCAATCTCAATAAAAACGGTACGGGAGGTTGACATGTCACTTTTTCTCAGGCTCAATTTCTGCATCTCTATTAGGCATATTATTAACCATACAATTTGTTAGCAGGTAAACATTTTCCTGCTTGAGCAGGGGGTTGAACTACAAGACTTCCAAGGTCCCTTCCAACTCTGTTATTCTGTTAAAAGCAATATATAAGCCCCATCTATTATTGTGATAGAGCACAAGAGGTGGCCATTCCAGCTGATTTATTTCTTCTTTATAAGAAATCACTGAATCATAATTCTAAAATGCTTAAATAAACTGGTAGCAATAATGCAGAACCAAGATAAAGGAAAAATACCTAACCAATTAACAACATTAGTAATCTGAATGTTATTGAATGCTTCAGAATTTAATGGGACTTTTTTTAAAACTAGACATTCATACTATGATAGTTGTAACATGCCCTCATCATTAAAATGGGGTATATCCTTCTCCACATCCCTCAGATTTCCTTTTAATCAGTCTTCTTCAGCTGGCTGTCTTTCAGTGGCACTATTGGACAATAGTGCCACTTGACTTCAAAGATGATGCTGGTTGAAAATTCCAGGAACTGAAGTTCAAAACATCTGGAGAGCACCAGTAAAAGAAGAGTGCTCCTAAACACATAAAACAACTAATCTATTCCAGGATAATAACAGGATAATAAATCCTTTTATTCCCAGTCACCACAGAGTATAAAATTGAGTCACATTTGGGATAGAGTTCAAATCCTTCCTTCTTGCAAAACAAAAAAAAATTCTCTTAAATGTGGTTCTAAGTGTTACATTTTTGCATTAACCTTCCATGTACACTTGTATGAATATGTCAAAACAAACCTGCTGAGACACAGCTGAGAGTGATTTGCTAATACATATTGCTCTGCAAGAAAGGTGGGCAGGTATACAATAAAAGCAGGTCAATTCTGAAATTTACACTCTTTTTATTTATCTTTTGGGAATTCTGAACATTTTAAAAAAATATTATATCAAAGAAATTTTTGACACCTGATGCTTCAGGTAACTTGACTCTTTTTTTCAAAAATTCCAAATGGTTTAGCAGATTAACTGGTCAGAAAATTCATTTGGTATTACAAATGTCACCAAAAATAAGAGAGTTAAATATAGGAATGCCCACTGTCCAGCAATTCCAATAAGAGAGATGAATTGTCTAACTATGACTACAATCATATGTTAATTAAGAGTATTTTGAAACTGTAACAAAAAAAACTCGATGAAAAATGATTTAAATCAGGATAATGAAACCAGCAGTTTGTATGAGTTGAAATTTGTCTCATCAGTACACTAATCAGTTGTCAGACAAACAAAATAAACCTACTGTGTCCTACTCCATTTACAGTAGTTAATACCAATTTGAATGTGTGTTTTGCATTTTACTTCAATTGTAGTAGGGTGTTTGAAGTGAGATCACTGTCTGAAGTGGGACTGAGAAGCAGCCAACTCAGAGCATAAATAATCTCTCTCAATCTGGTGCCTTTACAGCATGTTGAGGCAATTACCAAGATTAACAACCAGTTTGAAAATCACACATTGGGAAATTCTAATCCCAAAACGTGAATGCAGGACTGTAATGGCACTCTTGAAGAGCATTCGGAGACTTCAGCTCGTCCAGAATGCAGCCGCGCGAGCGATTGTGGGTGCACCTCGGTACACCCACATTACACCTATCCT